CTTGCACTTTCGGATAAATAGCCTGCTGCGGATAAGTACTTATAGTCATGTGTAGCACTTCCCTATTCATCATTACAGGCATCGTTGTAGCTTTTAACAATTGCCGTTACACTACGGAGTACGGAGCACTGAATCAAGAATATGGCTACCAGCTTCCTTCACGTGAAGGGTGATATTATTGTTGACGGAAATGGAAAGGCAGTTGTGATGCGAGGAGCTGCTCTTGGAGGGTGGATGAAGTATGCAAATGATCGGATTGCCGTATCATTCCCCTGTCCTCAAACTGACATCCCATCTTAGTATGGAGAATTTCATCACAGGCTTCGCAGGCCACGAAGCCCAGCACCGCGCCGCCATGCGCCGAGTCCTAGGAAAACAGAGATATGAATTCTTCTTCGACAAATGGCTGGAGTACTTCTTCACCGAAGCGGATGCCAAATTCTTCGCCGAGTTAGGGTTGAACTGTCTGCGTCTGCCTTTCAACTACCGCCACTTTGAAGACGATATGAATCCCCGGGTGTTAAAGGAATCAGGGTTCAAACATTTGGACCGAGTCGTCGATCTGGTCGGTGTTTCACATATTCATCTGCATGGGGGTAGCGACTAATCTCGATAGCCTTATAGTGCGCAGCCCACGGGATCTATACCATCCTGGATATGCACGCTGTCCCCGGTGGTCAGAACCCAGACTGGCATTCTGACAATCCTACCGGCTATGCTGCTTTCTGGGATTACAAAGACCACCAAGACCGGACTGTTTGGCTCTGGGAGCAGATTGCCGCCAGGTACAGAGATAATCCTTGGGTTGCTGGGTACAACCCGCTCAATGAACCTTGCGATCCTGAGCATGTACGACTACCCGCATTCTATGCTCGTGTTGAAAAGGCAATTCGCAATATCGATCCGAATCATATAATGTGGCTGGATGGTAATACGTTTGCGATGGAATGGAAGGGGTTTGACGAGGTGCTGCCGAACTGCGTGTATGCCATGCATGATTACTCAGTGAGCTTCACATTCCTTTCGAGGTCGTGAGATAAGGGCGTTCTTGTTCTAATACGATATAATCTCTAGTCAATGGGCTTCCCTACCGGCGATCGCTACAAAGGCACAAATGAACAAAAAGAACGCCTTGAACAGGGGTACCTGCGCAAAGCGCGATTCATGAGCGAGAACAAGACCCCCGTCTGGAATGGGGAGTTCGGACCCGTCTACGCAGATCATATTTTTGACTTCGATGCCGAGACTGTTAATCAGGAGCGATACAACCTCCTTGGTGACCAGCTGCGCATCTACGACAAGTATAACATCAGTTGGTCGATCTGGCTCTACAAGGACATTGGTCTGCAGGGTATGATCTACACGAATCCTGCGAGCAAGTGGAACAAGACACTCAAGCCTTTTCTGGACAAGAAGAGAGACTTCTGGCTGGATAAATGGGGCCGTCGGCCTAAGTCTGAGCCCGAGGCGGCTTTGAAGCCTTTGCTCGAGTGGATTGACCGCGTTAGTCCAACTGCGAAGGAAACTTATCCCACGTCGTGGAATACGGAGTTGCATGTCATGCGCAATGTGTTTTACACTTTCTTAGCGGCTTCGTTTGTGGATGAGTTTGCTGAATTGTTTCGAGGAAGCAGTGAGAAGGATCTGGAAGAACTGGCCAGGAGTTTCCACTTTGAGAGTTGTATACAGCGAGAGGGTTTGAATCGCATACTCAAGGATCACGCACATGGGTCTCATTGATTCTGAGCAAGAGTCAGCTTGGTATAGCATACTATAATAAATTGGACTTTCACGACTGATTCTAGTGGCCTAGAGCCTGGAGGGAGGTGGTGCTCTATAAGCAGAGTGTGGCAATAGTATCCGTTCCCGGCGATATTCCGGCTTCTACTTAAATACCACGCACTATTGTTATCCACACACTATCGATAAGCCAGAAAAATCGAAAAAGACCGCGGGGCACATTCTCGACTTCGAGGTCTTTAAAGGTTACTAGAGAGATTTGACATGGCTGAATCTCCTGCGTATCCGTCCAATCTGGACAGCATATACGATGCCGCATCATCTCTCAAAGACCGCATCGATCCAATCCGATTGACGTCAGACAACATTGTCCCGATCCTCAACCTGCCCCTCACTCACAAGGTGCTGGGCCACGACGCTTCAGAAGAGTCCCTTGCACAGGTTGCAAGCGGCGAGATCTCCTATACCACCTTCGTCGCCGATCAGGCCCGCGCCGCCCTCCGGTCTAGCGATGACTTGACTACGGAACAAAAACAATCGCAACTTCTGCATCTTGGACTAGCAGCCTTGTTCAGCTTTCTACAGTCCAACGTTACCGGTCCTCCCCTCGAATTCAGCTCGGCTGAAGCTGTGCTTCCCTCCAGTCTGCGAACAGAACGGACAACCCTCAAAGCCGTGCGGGCAAAGATCATCCGCGATCTAACACTGGATGGAGAAGCTGCCTACAAGCTCACACCTAACCCGGAATTGTTCGCTGTGGCTAAGGCTCTGCTAGCCGATGCGAGTAGCGATGGACCACTTGTGGCAAAGACCGCACGTATGCGCACCAACTTTCTTCACCAAAAAATGCTTTCGGAGGTCACGAGTACACTCCAGGATGTGATCTACAAGGATGTTGAGATCCTGGACAAGGCTGAGTTGACCTCAGATGAGAGAAGTCGGTTCCTGCTGGAAAGGGCCATTATTCATACACACCATGGATTCGATGCCAAGGCACGGGAAGATATTACTCAGGCGGCCAAGGTGCGGAGGTTCGAATTTGCGCTGACCGGAAAGATGGGCAAGCGTACAAAGTTCCAAGACCGTGATATCAGTCAACTGGTCGTGTTGGCTAAGAGTGCCGATGAGACATCACCATCACAATCTTCGGAGCCTTCTGGGCCTAAGAACCTGAACTTGGACGACGACACCCTTCTCGAGGCAATATCTTTCTCCGACCAAAAGCCCGACGAACAATCCTTGGCAATTCAGGATAAGGTTTCTCCAGCTTTGGATGCTATTGATGCCAACAATCAGCCTATTCTCAACCCCGTTGACTCTGCTCTTCTACTCGCACTGGCATCTGCCATTACTAATACCTCGCCTGAGAATGGTCTCACCCGAGAGGAAACAAACCCCTACGCCATTCGAGTGCTTGATGGTGGTAGCTCCAACTGGCAGATCTATACCCAAGCACTTTTGGTCCGCAGTCGAGTAGAGGGCTACCGTTCCCGTACTGTTGAGAGAGCCGTGCTGCAGATGCAGGCTTTGGTGGACCAGGTCATTGCGGATACCGCAACCAGCGACGACGCAGCTCAGAATGAATCAGGCGACCCTACAACTTTCCTGCCGCGCCCTGAGCAGTCTGAGTCTGCCCCGGCCGCTGACAGACTTGAGCACATCTGGATCCTAGACTTCTCAACAAGATGGAGTCTCGAGGCTGAGCTTGCGAAGCGCTGGGTTGATCTTGGTGGTCTACGCACCGCACTTGAGATCTACGAGAGACTACAAATGTGGGCCGAGGCCGCGCTTTGCTATGCTGCCACCGAGCGCGAGGGCAAGGCGAAGAAACTCATCCGCCGCCAGCTTTACCAGGCCACCGGCCCAGATGAAAATGACGAAAATGAACAATTCGAAGGACCAGAGCGGTCACCACTACCAGCAGATGCCCCACGCTTGCTCTGTATCATGGGAGATATCGACAAGGACGAAAAGATGTACGAGCGCGCCTGGGAAGTCTCCGGGGAACGATACGCCCGCGCCCAGCGGTCCCTGGCCCGCCATTATCTCACCTCCACACCACCGGAATTGGAAAAGGCCGAGATAGCCTATAAGAAGAGTTTGCACATCAACCGCCTGAACCACGGTGCATGGTTCGCTCTCGGCTGCGTGCAGCTCGAGCTCCAGAAATGGGCAGAAGCAACCGACACCTTTACCCGCACCGTCCAACTGGACGATACCGACGGCCAGGCATGGAGTAACCTTGCCGCCGCGATGCTGCGCATGCCCGACTCGGAGCCCGCCCCAGAGATTATCGACAAGGCCACTGGCGAAGTCTCCGCCGCCGAAGTCGACCCCTACAAGCGCAAGCGCGAGGCTCTATCGGCACTCCAGCGCGCAGCGCAACTAAAGGGCACTGACGCCCGCATTTGGGACAACGTCCTGACAGTCGCAGCATCTATCCCGCCCCCGGCAACACCATTCCGCGATGTGATTACCGCGCAGAAGCGCATTATCGAGCTCGTCGGCACAAAGCAGGGCGAAAAGTGCATTGATGTGGCGATCCTGAGCATGCTCGTTGACTTCCTGAACGTGGCGTTCGAGTACGAGGCATTGCTTATCCGCTCTGACGATCCATCTGAAGCCCCGATTGTTCGCACCGGTACTATTCCCGGCCAGATCATCTCGCTGATCGATCAGAATGTTGTCCCGCTTATCACACACTCTGCGGTTCTGTGGCAGATTGTTGCTCGCGTCGAAGTCTTCCGTCATCGGCCGTCTAAGGCGTTCGAAGCTCACGAGAAGGCGTGGCGTGCTGCTGTTGCTGCTAATGCTCAAGGTGCTTTCCAGATGGGTGATGAGAAGCCCTGGCTTGAGATTGTGCGGGCTACAGAGAAACTTGTGAGGGATGGGTATGCTAAGTTTGGTCCTATGGACCGTGAAGATCAGAAGATTGAGGGTGACCATGAGCCTGAGCTTGTTGCGAAGGACTGGCGGTTCAAGGCTCGAAGTGCCGTAAGAGGAATCTTGGGCAAGGGCAAAGAATTCTGGGATGGCACGGAAGGCTGGGACCGCTTGAAGCAGTTGCAGTCTGAGGTTACCGCCAATTAGTACATATATCCCTTGATGCTGTTTATGAATGATGTAGATTAGCTCGCTCATATGGCAGGTGCAATGCTTACAAAAGTCATATACCAAGTTCAACATTATTCAAATCTCCTCATCTTGATTGATAAATCAAGGCTATTCATAGTCACAGCTAGAGTCATAATCTTAGGGAATCATTTTGATTCCAACTTTCTCTTCACCATCCCGCAAAAGCTCTCGAACAAGACAGTGTCTGTCCCCTGGGCCCAGCGAACTAAAACCTTCACCTCTCTCTCGTCCGGTTTCTGTCCCCGGACCAACCGTATCTGCAGACGTACCCCCAGCGCCACCTGGTCCGGAATCGCCTTAAATTTAGCCGCACCCTCCTCGCCGGCAAGTTTCATTTTCCGACGTGCGAATCTCGACCATACATTCTCAGAAGCGAATCCCGTCCCGGCAGAACGTGTTTGATTCCAGGTCCAGAACCAAGGCAACGAACTGAGTTCTGTATCTATAGTCGCAGTTGCAGTGTCAATAGACGTGCCAGGTGGTAGAGTGAATGTGTAATCTGCAGGGAAAGGCAAAAGACTCTTCGGGCAGCCCGGGATTCCGCGCACAATATTCTAGACCAGCGGTTAGACATGGCGCACAAAGCACAGACGTGAACGAAGTGAGTTAGAGGTAGTAAAGTAGGACTTACCATGGCAGGCCTTCGGTCTCCCAATGACCACGCCACGGCCCAGCGCTTCGTCTTGCTTCCCTGCTCGAACTCGGTGACGGCGAAATTGGTGATTCCATGCTTGATCAGCATCTCTACGAGTACGTTGATACTGCTCAATTTGCCGAGCATGGATGTGTACCACTGGATGCGGTCACGCAGCTGGAGACTCTCGTCGATCATTTGCTTCACGAAAGCCACTTCTCCTCCGTGAGTCACCATTTCAACTTCCGCGCCGGTGCAGGTCTTCATGTAAGTTAGAACGGTATGGTACGTAAGTGGAATGTGGTGGATGGTATATGGCTATTTCGTGTTGGAAGTGAAGCAGTAACACTCACCGAAAATGGGTCTCGTTCTTTCTGCTCAGCAGACTGCTTCAGCTCATTAGGCGAGGCATAAAAGGGTGGGTTGCACATGGTAAAGTCAAGGCTGGTTAATGGTCAGGTAATATTCTAGCAAGTCTTAACTGGAGGGAGACTCACGTTTGGTGACCTAGCTTTTCTAACGGGAATAGGGGTCCGTTGGGGTCAGAATTTACAATCTGAATTCGTGATCTAAGATTGTTCAGAGCCACATTATGCTGGGAGGTGCGGATATTGTTCGAGTCGATGTCTGGTTGGTCAGTGGATGCCGAATATCTTCGGGCTGAAGGACATACCTGTTGCTACAAATTTCCACCGCGGCCGTGTCGCGCAGCCCAGAAGTGGGTAGATAGCGATGCATCCCGTTCCGCTTGATTTTGTCAGACATGATCCAGAGACTGGAGGGACTCATTGCTTACATATCGAGCCCGACGACCTCCCGGTCCCGGTCATACTCCTCATGCAGTCCTCCGGCGGTGGAGTCAAGGAGGTCATGTAGCCAGAGGATGTAGTTGAGTCTATGCTACATGTCAGACATGCGTATAGGATCTAAGCCGTCATTCGGGATGACATACCTATTTGGTACCTAAAATTAAGTCAACACGTGTCCGTCAGAATATTTTTAGTATCTGCATACCGGTGGACACAGTCGATCCTCAGGGATCTCAACTTTCAGGTCAAAATCTTGTTGCAGGAGGGTGGTGGTGAGTTGTCTGCATGATGCAAATCAGATCCACTCCCGAAGTTAGACGTTAGAGTCCTCCAACTTACCGGACGGCCGCTGGATCAGTAAAGTCAAGTTGTCCGTTTGGTTTCAAGCTGTATTCGATTAGCACTTGTCTTTCTGTTAGAATAGAGGCCTTTTCACGTACTGCTTGGCGAAGTCGCGCGATTGCAGCCCCAAGGCTGCAAAATCGACGTCATTTTTGTAGAGGCTTCGGACAGACTCCATGCTATTTCGTGGAGTTTCTCAGTTTACTTGATATTATCGAAAGAACTGGAATGTGGCCGGTGAAAAGCAAAGCAAAGTCCACGGCGCATGGGGAGGCCGGTGTTGGCAAGCGGGTAGAGAAGGCGAAAGCGGCCATCTGAAACTTTGACCGCGTTGATGTATTAGGCAGAAAACCATATAGAACATATAACTATGACCTACGCCAATACATGTAGGTTCCAGACTACATAATTGATCTCAGGAAGAAACTGATATAGCAACCAGTAGTGACAGAGGTTTAAAATAAAGAAATAGCAGGGTCTATGGAAGATATATGGATACCAATTAAGAAGGCGGAGGGGAACGCGGTAGGTTGAAACGCAAGTTCCGGGTGGCTGCTATCGTCGAGCCTCACCTTACGTCACCCTTATACGGGCATATAACCTCAAGAAAATTAAAGATGCCGAAGTGAGATGCTACCCAGATGTAGTAGTATTTGCCATTTTGTAAAGACGTGTATGAAATAAAAATAAAAATAAATAATCGCCAAAAGTATGAGTGAGAAGTGAAACCATGTAAGCACCGCTTTTTACTACCCCAAATCGTCAAGTCGTGATAGGCCCAATTATATACTTTTCCCCCTTCTATTCACAATTTCCCCCCATTTTTCCATTCCAGATATATCGATCGTTTTCATTTAGACGGAGCTTTCCTTCTTCAAAAGGCGCTCTTGGCGCTCAAGACGCCATCCATAGCCCCACTTCATCTCAACCATGAGAAGAGGGACCGTGGCGAGGATAATGCCAGCGAGCATGACAAATGCAAACTGGGCAGTGAGAGCATCAATGATAGCCTGAGAAGCCGCGACACCAGCAGCACCAATGAAGCATCTCATCAGGTTGTTGACTGCCGTTGCACTAGCACTAGCACCGGGGTACAAGTCGATGACGAGTGTGCTGTTAATGGTGAAGATAGCGGTGGAGCCATAGGCAATGAGGAATTGTAGGATAATTGGGACTGCAAGGTGTGTGCGGAGGGATACTCCGTAGACGGCGACACAGACAATGAAGATAGCCGTGATCCACCAAGTGTTGCGCATGCGGGCATACTCGATGGGGAAATCGGGGTAGCTCTTTAAGCTGATGCGAGTATCGATCGGAAGGTTGTGTTGCTGACAATATTCACGTTCCGTTCGCTTGTGATTGTAGTCCATCAGGTATCCGATTGTATACGAGCCGGCCATGCATCCAAAACCATTGCCGAGGAAGGTCAGGCCAACTTCCATTGAGTTCAGGCCATATTGTTTTTCGAATAGGTCCGATGTGGAGGATGTCACCATTGACCACACTGTGTACACAATGCTGCCGAAGAGAAGGGTGATGAAGACATCCTTCTCGCATAGAAAGGCGAGGGGTGCTAGCACGGTCTTTAAGGTCACCTTACCCTTCTTTCCGCAGGGGATTGAACCTTCCTGGACGTCTTTCTGTCCGCAAATGGAGTAGATGACTGGCTTGTGGATGCCTTTGAGGGGAACTGTGCCGTTTCCAGCGATAGAGCGGAGTGTTTCGGGGAGGAAAAACATGATAGACAAAAGACTGATTCCGGATGCAATAACCAAGAACCAGAAGATAGATCGAAACCCAAGGTATTGAGAGAGGATTCCACCGAATACTGGTCCAACTCCTTGTCCCAACATGCGAACTAGATACTGTTAGCTCAGAACATAGCAGTGTATCCAAGCAGCAGGCTACTTACCACCACCAAATATTCCAATCAAGCTGCCTCGTTCCGCTGAGGTGGTAATATCACCAATGACACCCGCACCTAGGAAAGTTAGCTAAGACACAAGACAGGGATGATTAATGTATCATACCAATTGAGATGGTGGCTGCACTTCCGGCAGCTTGCAGCGCTCGGAAAGCCATAAGTTCACCATAGTTGGTAGAGACAGCCAAAGCAATGTTCGAAATAATGTATACACTAAATGTTCCAACAAAAATCACACGACGGCCCAATGCATCAGAGAAAGAACCCCAGAAGCTCGGGGCAAGACCTTGAACAATCATGTATATCGTGATAGTCAAGGTAGCTAGAGACATGGAGATATCGAGTTCCTATATTGCCGTCAACAAGTGGCCAAATCCATAGTGCTCAAGTTGACCAACCTTTGCAACTTCTGACAGTGCAGGGAAATAGATGTTTGAAGATAGCGGCGAGAAAATGGCGGCGAAAGAGACAATAATAACCATTAACAATTTGCGAGACCGAGTGAACACATGATATGGTGGTTCTTCTGGGGCTTGGGCTTCAAGATTGATTGACTCTGCTGGTGTCGATGATACCGAGAATCCTTTCTCATATTCAGGCGAGAGATTAGGGCTTGAGTTGACCGACTGGTCTGTAACCTCAGGATCCCTGAGGGTTTCTGCTGAACTGTAGTGGGACAAAGTCATGGTGAATAATTATTATAGAATATGAAGACAACACTGGCTGTTATCAACAGATGCAAATCATTGAGAATAGAATATAAAGTATGGCTTCATTCGGCTCACAGTTTTAGAGGTATAGAAAGCTAAATGATAGAATGGAGACATCCTTTTGTATCTCAATTCCAGCAGGAAACCCCTATAGGGCATATTCCAAAATACAAACAATATTAGGAGACCCATACATCTGAGAGTCAACCAAATGTACTCCACAGTGGGTTCGACTAGGGGTCACTATACCCTCTCCTTGATAGTAGAAAATGGCACGGATAATACTTATCTGGTAACCCCAATGTCGCTCAATTTGATACATACGGGCCACGATCAGCAGTTGAAATACTCGAGGTTCTAATCCACGAGCTTCTAGAATGACTTACACCACTAGTCTAGACGGCTACATGTCTATTGTATCATCTCTAGTATTAGAAATATGACTTCTACCCCAGGGAAATCATATTTCTGATACTTCTGGGAGCTACCCACGAGAGGTTGGGGCCTGGTTAACTATGGATAAATAGTTTTAATACCTAAGTTCATAGGGCAGATTCCAGTACCCACTGGGATTCCTTCTAGACTCCATATACGCGTAATGGAATCGATCTGCATATAATATGCAGCACGCAGGTCCGGTTTCACTCTCAAGACTTGGAGTCGGAAAAAATATGTCGGGGAAATGTTGCTTGGCACTCGATTACTTTTCTCGATTCAACTCCGCAGAATCTTTCGTTTCCTATGTTGTAAAGGCCCCGAAAGTGTGCGGAATTAGGGAGGTGATAAACCAGTTAACCAATCCACTAATTGTTTCCAAAGCAGCAGCGGATAGATATCTCGAGTACAGGAAAAGAGAAGCTGAAACCTGATTTCTGTTCCAGGGTCTCATTTTCCCCACGTGTCGAATATTAGCCATTTTGATAACATATATGTCAAGCAAATGCCAAGCTTCATCATTTACCCTGGTCAATATTGATACAGGTGAGATTATTGGGCAGAATACGCCATTGAATTACGTGTGCATTCCCCTTGACCGATCTATATAGGGGATCTTAACCCTTGCTGTTAACAAGTCGTCAATCGGGGACCCACAAAGGGGGCGTCTGACCACAGGGCTTAGCATCACAATCCAATGACATGCATTATGATTCCAGATATGTGATACTGCCTACAATACCGAGTACATTACGGAGTATAATTCATACAGAGGCCGGTCAGCTTGGCGATCATATCCTGTCTAGCGCGAACCTTGTCCCGAGAGAAAGTCATGGACGAACTTCTTCTCCTATACATATATATCTAGCAATGTAGCTAGCTGCATTGGTCAGTAGCTTGCCGGGTACCATACAGTACATAGAGAGTACAATATACTAGGTACCGTGCAAGCTTTTCTACATAGATTATAGCTTAGTCTTTCTATCTGACTCCACTGATGCGACACCCCTAGAAATCTTAGCGGAACTGCCAAGAGTTCGTCGTCGTCTGCGGTTGATCATTGAATTGCACATCGCTTCGTAATTGAGCGTCGACTTTACACTTTCGGGGTGTTTTTCTATCTGCCCAACCTCCAGCTCGGTTAAGGCTCGCCAGGGCTATCTACCCCTGTAAGGCTGATACAGCTTCCCATCTTGGCAGCCTGATAGAACTCAATTCTTTATACCTCAGTTTTGATGCCCAATGCCAAGACTCTGGTTTCACGGCAAGAACGGTCTCCTATAATCTACTCCGTACTCCGTAACTCCTTCGCTGCTGCGGATGCCGATTCTCGGGTACCCGATATGGACTCCGTTAGTGCACGTTAGATACATGCAGTGTAGTTAGTTTCATTAGTAGATTGGCCTGACATGGTGCAATTCCCCACTTCTAAACAATATAGGGGGTCCAAACCCTCAATGTGATTAGGTTATAGCTTCATTTTCAAGTCTCCGAGTTATTGTGGTGTTGAACGCCTCGATTTAGCATATTATCTGTCAACGTTGTGGCCCCAATGCAAGTTTTTCTTCTTTTTCTTCTAGCTGTGGAATAGAGAATTGGATCTTAACCTGCGAATTCTCTCAAGGTTCCCTGAACAAGAATTTCTATACACTTTCAAATTTGGGAGATATGGTAGATCCCCCTGACAGGTATGACAATCTTCATCTGAAACACAGTATACGGAGTAATCATATGGATCTAACGATACTAGCGGAGAAAATAAAGATGATTGTTACGAACGGATGAGGCTGTGTCTGATCTATTTGCCTGGCGCTTCAATAAACAAGCGCTTTGACCATGGGATTTGCAGATCTGATGCAGCCCCTGGCTTTCTTGGCCCGCTAAAGGAACTTGACACACACAAGCTAACTAATATAAATGATAAAGGATTCCAGAGTGTTCCACGAAGGTTTTGAGGTGATTTACCGCAAAGGAACCCTAGCATGTCGTTATCGCATCAAACGACGTCCTCGGTGTCCTCCGTCAAACTGCTCATCATTTTGTCTTCTCCCGCCTAAGTGTCCTCTATTAACAGCAACGTTACAAGTGCCTCTCAAAATGAATGTAATGGACCTTCTTGGCATCATGCCGGGTCCAGAACAAAAGACACCTTGTAAGTTTCTTTCATACCCCACAGAGCAGGGCCCTTCAGAACGCCCCTGATCGTCGGCGTATGGAGCTCGTGTGTAGATCTGGCGATTGAGTAAGTTGTTCCTATGTTGTAACTAGTTAGTTACATATGGATATCTAAAGTTGATAGTACTGGGCTGTGGAAATGTTTGTTTCAGGATAACCACGCTATATAATATATTGCACTACCCCCCCTTGTGAAACATGCTACCGATATTATAGAAGACCTTTTAACTATTTAGACAGTATCTAATGGCGTTATATAATCACCATGGTTTAAACCGAAGAAAGTGACCTAATTGTCTATGTTTAATAGCAAGTACACGTTGTTCTAGGATAGAGTTATCAACTCTGCTTCGGATGAAAGAGACCACAGAGACATATCCAGCCAGTTTTGGATAAAAATATACAAGATTTCGCAATAACCAGTGGATATATATCTCACCTAATTACGGATGCCACTAGTCAGTGGAAGTGTAGCTATAAATTAAATATTGAGATGCGCGAGCGAAAGTTCTTGACACAGCATGATTGTCAAACGGTTTATTATCTCTATCGGATAGATATGTCGCACCTCTAATTCTTCGACGGCTGGGGATAGAAAATCAAAGCGAGACTTCCATTCACCGAAGCCGTCCGCATTGTTGATCACATTTAATGCACAGATCAATGTATGCGCACAAGTCACGAAGTCTCGCTTCCCAAATGAATTGATCGTGCTGATAACACCGTGAACATGCAGTTGGGATCCGGAAACCTTTGTAATCCATTAAGAGATCAACACGATCGACGAAGCTTTCGCGAACGTGGACTTGAACATGAAAGACGCTGGAAGAAAGGCCGGGAGCACGTATATCGGGTGAACTCGTACCATGTCCCGACCAATGACAAGGTCCTGGTGCGAAATTTCACGAAATGTATGCCAAATCACCAGCCGATTTGGACGTGTGTTGAGTAATGAGGCTCGGCTCGGATGATCGAAGTCGCAACTCACGACGCGTGAGAGATCAAGGCCGGAGCGGACATGGCGTGTGGATCATGCAGCCATCTATCTCTTATGTTGAAGTAGCGTGGGTAGGCAATGTCAGACAAAGAAGCATATTAGCCTAACAATGGGAGAAGACCCCATCGCAAATATCGTGATCTTAGCGCTTGTCCCCTCTGCCACCACCGCGGCCACCGCCTCGGCCACCTCTACCACCCCCGCCGCCTCTGCCGCCTCTTGTTTTGCCCTTTCCTCTCCCACCCATCATACGGCGCCCTGACGCCTGGACACGGGCGATGTCGTCTTTGTTCAGGTTCAAAGTGCCTCCTGAGAACCTGCCCACGGAGGATCCGGCAAGACCCCGCTCTCTTCGCCCGTTGTTGCTCGATTTATGTACCTTGTTAGGCTTCTCGAGGATGATGCCGTTCTCCTTGGCCTCTTGGCGGCGTCTATCTTCCTTTGATTCAGCCTTGGCTTTGATGCCTCTTCGGTGCGCAGTGGGCATTTTAGTTTGCGCATAGAGCGAAGTTTTGGCTCCGAGGGATTGCATGCGCATATCCAAAGCCTTCAAACGGTTCTTTCCAGTGGGCGCCAGATCATTGGCAGAGTCAAGAAGGTGTGACTCCTTAAGCAGTCTCTGCAATGCAAGATCATGCTTGAGGTTTGCAGAGTCGTGGGCGTCTTCTTCTTCTTCTTTTTTGGATGTAGGCTCTGGGTCGGCGCTCGGCTTATCTAAGTCGGACAACAGTTTTCCACTCTGTAGGTCTCAGTGTTAGCCTGGCCCTTCAACGCATTGAGGCCTAGCACGTACCATAAACGCCTTCCAGGTCTTCTTATCCATTCTGTCTTCTGGTGCCGCGTAGGCATCCGTGTGTTCGACCACCTCAACTTGATTGCTTTCGTCACTGATATCGGACACCCCATCCCAGTCACCTTCTGACTCAGAGAAATCAGAGTCATCGTCTTCTTCATTCCCTATTTCAGTAGATTTGGCGGTAGGAGCTGGCAAATCAAGTGGCTCAAATTGTGCTTCGAATAGTCTGCGGAATACGTCCTGCGCATTGTCCACTGGAGGAGGGCTGTCTTCCTTGGTTTGGGGCTTAGAAACCACAGTGGTTTCTCTTTTTCGTTTCACAACCATGGTGAATGTGCTATCGACTAAATTGTAAAATCGAACACTCGCGTCTCGACCCAAAAGTTTTTCGGACTTAGCTCAAAGTCACGTGTGATAAGATACGCCGCCCCTCGATTTACACATCCATCACTGAATCAACTTGTTCTCCAATTAGCCAGAAAAAAATGACTAAATTCAGACCGTGCATTGACCTGCATTCGGGGCAGGTCAAGCAGATTGTGGGTGGTACACTCAGCCAGGTGGCCGCAGACC